GTGCTGTGTGCCCCACAAGCCAGGCTGAGCCCACAGAGCACGGCTCGCTACGGCAGGGACTGCAGCCATGTCCCACCCCATGGCTCTGCCCTTGTGTAAACCATCCCCATGGCCAGCCTTCTCCAGGTGCCCATCGCTCAGACAGGCATCCTTCTGCAGGGCAGGTCCTCGGGCAGGGAGACCTGGCCAACAGAGCTTTGTGGTGCTGGAAGAGTCATGGTGGCTGTGCCGGGCCAGTCCCAGCACAACCATCCCCCAGCACAGGAGCTGCGTGCCCAGGTGGCTCTGCCCTTGTGTAAACCATCCCCATGGCCAGCCTTCTCCAGGTGCCCATCGCTCAGACAGGCATCCTTCTGCAGGGCAGGTCCTCGGGCAGGGAGACCTGGCCAACAGAGCTTTGTGGTGCTGGAAGAGTCATGGTGGCTGTGCCGGGCCAGTCCCAGCACAACCATCCCCCAGCACAGGAGCTGCGTGCCCAGGAGCAGGGATCCCATCTGCTGGGATGATGTTGGGAACCATCAGCTATGGTGTCCTGGGGGCCGTGGGGACAGGGTCTGCATAGGTGCTTGCCAATCCTGAGGCTGGAGTGCCTGGGGAGCAAGCCCCCTCAGCACTATCAAGGGGGAAACCCCTAAAATGAGGGGGCTGAGACAGCAGGGATGGTGGTGGTGACACATTAATTGGACATGGAGGCAGGCGGGGCAGAGTCCGGGCTGGTGGGGGGAGCACTGAGCCCTGGGGTCAAGGTCCACGGAGACACTGCTGGCACAGGATGCACTGCGCTGTGGTGCTGGGTGCTGCGCAGGCAGTCACCACTGTTCCTCTCCTCTGGTCTCAGCTCTGGGGGATGGCAACGCGTGCCATGGCCACCAGCCTGCTCTGTGTCCCCCCACCCCAGGACCTGCTCCGGCCCCTGGCTGTGCCAGAGAGGCTGCTGCTCGGACCAGGGCCCAGCAATGTGCCCCCCCGCATCCTGGCTGCGGGTGGCCGGCAACTCCTGGGCCACATGCACCCCGAGGTGCTGCAGGTGAGCTGCCCAGCCTTCCTCCCCTCCTCTCCCTCGCCCCCTGCAAGGGGCTGAGACAGCTTTCCTGGGTTGAGGGGGCAATAGAGGTGCTAGTCGGTCCCCTGCCACCACAGGTGATGGATGAGATCAAGGCAGGCATCCAGTACGCCTTCCAGACGCAGAACCGTCTGACCCTGGCCATCAGCGGCACCGGCCACTGCGCCATGGAGGCTGCCCTCCTCAACGTCTTGGAGCATGGTGACACCACACTGGTGGCTGTCAATGGCATTTGGGGACAACGCGCTGCCGACATTGCGAGGAGGTTGGGTATGTTGGGGACAGCCAGACAGCACTGGCAGGATTCAGGGGTGGGGCTCGTGGGCGGGGTGCCAGAATGTGACCCCTGGCTTGCTGTCCCCATCTCGGCAGCAGTGGCCAGAGACACCACCTTTGCTGCCGGGGAGCGCC